GGCAGGAGCAGCTCCATCCCGGCAGGGAAGGACGACCCTCATGGAAGAAGCCAAGAGGATCCACAGTGAGAGGAGCCACATGGGCCCAACCACAGAGCAGCTCTCAAGGGATCAAAGTCCTTCCCAGAGCCACCCTGAGCTCCCCCCAGACATCCTGGACTTCTATGCTGAACACACCACGTCTGCTCCTGGAAACTCTCCTCGGCTCCCAGCAGAAGTTAAGCCCAATTAACAGCAATTAACAGGGAGCCCAGCTGCAGGCCCAGCAGCGCACAGGGGCTGGGGTTTGGACAGATGAGGGGCAGAGCCTGTGTCACCCCACAGCTCACGGGGCAGCTCAGGACAGTTCAGCTCCCAGGGCTGGACCCCGCGTTGGCACCAGGCACAGCCAGGCTGGGCAGCCCTGGTCCCTGCACCACCAGCTGCTCACAAACCCACGGGCCAGGCCTGTCGTGCTGGTCTCTGCAGCTGCAGAGAAACCCCCCCAGGAAGGAGAGGCAGGAACGTCATGATCAGCCTGGGGCAGGGAGAGCACTGACCACACGGGACAGGAACCCAGAGCAAGCACCAGATCATCTCACCAGGAAAATCACCTCCAAATCTCAACAGTGGGGGAAGAGAAAGACAAGGGGCACATTCCTGGAGGAGCACAGGCACCTCCACGTGCTCCTTGGAGCTTGTAAGAACTTTCAGAGCCCTGAAGGCATGAGGTCGAGGAGCAGCACTTGAGGTTGCAGGAGACCCAAGACACGGACCCACCCGTGGCAGCAGGTCCAGGGGACATGAGCCCTTCAGCACCTGAGCCAGCCCAGGACCAGCCCACAGGTGCTGCCACCTCAGCACCATCCAAGGGGTGACCCAGAGCCACCTCCAGCCCAGCTGGGTGTCCCACAGGAGGGGAGGAGCTGGGTGGGCAGGAGGATCGGTGGCTGGATCCCCCCACAAGGGGGTCAGGAGCCCCCCAGGGCCCAGCCAAGCCTGTCACTGCTGCCCAGGGCTGAGTTTTTTGAGGCTGCCAATCGATTTCCTCATGGAAACACAAATTCACAAGCAAAGTGTTTTGTCAAAAGAAAGACAAAATAAAAATAAAATAAAAAAAATAGAGACAGGCTTGTGTTTCTAATCCAAAGGTACTTCTCTTTATTCAAACCAGGGGTAATCACTGGTTAGTGCAAAATGCACCTAAACCTTTTGCCTGAGGGAAATCTACATCTGAACAAGGCCTCCGTTAACTCCCTTAACCCTGAAACCCACAGAGGGTCTGACACGTGTGAAGCCCAGAGCTCCCCAAGCGACTCTGTGCAGCAACAACCCTGCCCTGCCTCCTCACCAGCCCTACCCCTGCAGGTAACAACAGCAAAATACACTCAGTAGATTTCTTTTGTAACTCCCAGAGTTTCTGAACCATCCACCCCCACCACTCAGGTCAGGCATGGGGGGGCTGCAGCTCCCCCCCCCAACAGTGCTAACGGAAACCCTGCTTTAAATTAAAAAATAAGCCAGCATACATAGTAGAAAATTTCTCTTAAAAATTTCACAATCTGTAAATGTATATATTTTTTTTTCTTCTTTTAAACATAAAAGTTTACAATATACGGTAAAACAAAAGGCTCAGGAAAAATAATTTCAAAAAACAAACAAACAAAAAAAAAAGAAACCTGAAGTTTTGAATTAAAGCTGAAGACATTTTTAAAACCCTGTAGTTTGAACCAGTGACATTTTCTTTATTTGTGCTGATGGGTTAGAGAAAGGAAAATGTTTAAAAACTGCAGTCCAAACACCCACAGCTCTGCCTTCAGAAGCATCTTCCCCCACCCCCCACAAAAAAAACAAAAAGAAAACAAAAAACAAAAAACAAAAAAACAAAAAAATGTTGTTAGGTTTTTCTTCCATCAAGTATGTGATTGTCACAAGTTCAGAAGTCTGGGATTGCTGGGTTCTGCTGGGCCCAGACATCCCTGCGTGGACAGAATTCCCTGCTTGCAGCCCCCGCTAGCGCCTGTAGGGGTGAAATCCTTGCACGTTGTGGTTCTGTCCTCGTCCAAAACCACTTCCTCCGGCCGGGGGGCCACTGGATGGCTGCACCGAGGGGCCTCCGTAGGGAGGGGGTTGCTGGCTGGGATCAGAGAAACCTTGTCCAAAACCACTCAAGTCTTGTCCATACCCTGGGGAGAAGGGAAAAGGGCAGAGTCAGCTCCCAGCACCAGCTCCCCCCCCACAGACACCTGCCTGGGACGTGGCACCAGAGCAGCAGCCCCAGGACCTGCAGGAACCTCCTCTGCTGAGGGAAGGGGCCAAAAGCACAACTGCACAGACCACAGGTGGCAGTTTCTGCCCCCCCCGGCTGACAGGGTCACTGTCCCTCAGCTGCTGGTGGTGGCTGCAGCTTTGCTGGCAGCTCCCAGTACTCTGATTTTTTTCTGGCTTTTTTTACTG